ATATATATATATATATATAGTTATTATTTAGTATATATATATGTGTATAAACTACCCAGTAAAAAGCCACAGAAAAACAGCAGCAGCAGCAGCAGCAGCAGCAGCAGCAACAGCAGCAGCAGCAGCAGCAACAGCAGCAGCAGGAGGTATACGTACTTTTCCTGATGGTGTAATAATATCTATAATAAAACAACCCTCAATAAGATCATCCCCCTGCAGCACGCGCAGCAGATCAAGTTGCTGCCTAGGAGTAATGCTGCTGCTGCTGCGCTGCAGCAGCAACCTCCATGCCCTCCCTGTGCTGCAGCCAAGGGCGAACCATGCTGCATCAGGGAAAGATGCATGCACATGAGGAAGCAGCTCCTGTACACCCCATTCTCCTTTTTTTTGTGCTGCATGCGCATGCAGCAGCGACCGGCGCTGCCGCTGCTGCTGCAGCAGCACAGAAGGACGCATAGTAGGCCTATAAGGAAAAAGGGGCAGCTGCTGCCCCCTAGCGAAGGCAGATACAGGCTTATAGGGCTTGATGCCGCTGTGCTGCTGCTGCTGCTGCTGCTGCTGTTGGTGGTGGTGGCGTCCCCCTGCTCCTCCTCCTATTGATGTATTATGGTGCTGCTGCTGCTGCTGCTGCATGCGGCCCCGCTGCAGCACAGCTAGACGTGCATGCATTTTCTTTAATACTTCGCTGCAGTGTAAATCAACAGCAGCAACAGCAGCAAATACACCACCATACTCTACCCTAGGTAGTGCCTCTCCTTCTCCTGCTGCTGCTGCTGCTCCTGCTGCTGCTGCTGCTGCTGCTGCTGCTGTATCTAATTCACCGTATGGGGCTACTACTCCGTAGGGGATTACCCCTCCGTATGGTGCTGCTGCTCCTCCTCCTCCTCCTGCTGCTCCTCCTCCTGCTGCATATGGTGCTGCTGCTCCTCCTCCTGCTGCATATGGTGCTGCTGCACCTGCTGCTGCATATGGTGCTGCTGCATATGGTGATGCTGCACTTCCTGCTGCTGCATATGGTGCTGCTGCGCCTCCAGGAGTCACCGCGGGAGTAGCTGCAGCAGCAGCAGCAGCAGCAGGAGCAGCAGCAGCAGGAGCTGGGCTGGCTGATGGGGAAGGATCTGCAGTAGATGCTGCTGGTGTCTCTCCTGAGCTTGCTGCTGCTGTTCCTTCTGATGGTGATGATGTTGCTGCTTCTGCTGTTGCTCCTGCTGCTGCTGCTGCTGCTGCAGTAGGTGATGCTGCTGCTGCTGCTGCTGCCTGCTGCAACGCATTACGTGGGGTTGTGTTATTAGGGGAGGGATATGAGCTGCTGTCTCCGCATGCATTTTGCCCCTCTGCTGCTGCAGTTGCTGCTGGTGCTGCTGGTGCTGCTGGTGCTGCTGCTGGTGCAGCAGCAGCAGCAGCTGCTGCTGCTGCTGCTCTCTCATTACGACGAGCCTCCTCAAGTCTAGGGAGAGCAAAGACAGGAGAAGTTAACGAAGCAGCAAGAGAGTGCTGCAGCTGATCAACTATGCCCGCTTCCTCCATCTGCAGCAGCAGCAGCAGCAGCAGCAGCAGCAGCAGCAGCAGCAGGTTGTCGTCGTGCAACAGCAGCAAATGAGAGAATTAAACAAATACAAACAAATACATAAAAAGAAATATAAATAAATAAATAATAAAATAAATAAAAAACATAAAAAAAAGAATAAACATATAAAGAAAAAAGAATAAAACATATTGACCCCAAACAAACCCTAAACCCTAAACCCTAAACCCTAAACCCTAAACCCTAAACCCTAAACCCTAGGAGGGATAATAAAAAAATAAAATAAATAAATAAATACATAAATAAAATAAATAAATAAATAAATATAAATAAATATAAATATAAATAAAATAAATAAATAAATAAATAAATAAATAAATAAATAAATAAATAAATAAATAAATAAATAAAAACTTACAACATCTAACATAGCATCGATCTCTTTATCAAAGACAGCAGCAAGAGAATCCCAATCACATTCTGTTGCTTCCCTGCTGCTGCTGCTGCTGCTGTTGCTGCTGCTGCTGCTGTTGTTGTAGGTGTTGCTGCTGTTGCTATTTGCTGCAGCAGCAGCAGGAAGATGTTTGCTGCAGCAATCTGTAGGAGCAGCAGCAGCAATAAGAGGACCAAAGAGAGAAAAAGGATCCGATTCGCTACCCTGCTGCTGCTGCTGCTGCTGCTGTCCATCCTGCTGCTGCTGCTGCTGCTGCTGCTCTCCTCCACCAAATCTGCATGCAGCAGCATCTCCGCATGCACAAGGATTAGCATCTAAGAAGCGAAAAGCCCCATGCAATAATTTTAGTGCTGCTGCTGTGCATGCAGCATTAATAACTCTCCTAAAGGGTTGGGCTGTATTTTTTGCTGCTGCTGCTGCTGCTGCTGCTGCTGGTTGCTGCTGCTGCTGCTGCTGTTGTTGTTGTTGTTGCTGCTGCTGCTGCTGCTGGTCCTCTACTCCTACTGATGGATCCTCTGATCCCTCAGAGTCAGAAGCAGCACTACCACCACCAGGACCTCCTGTAAGTACAAATCCATCTGCTGCTGCTGCTGCTGCTGCTGCTGCCATTGCTGCTGCTGCTGCACCACCATCCTCACCACAACTTAATGATCTAGATACACCACCAGCAGATGTATCCAATGGACTGTCTGATGCCCCCATCTTCAATACACAATACTACAGCAGCAGTAGCAGCAGCAGCAACAGCAGCAACAACTGCAGCAGCAGCAGCAGCAGCAAATTAGCAGCTACTGTTGTACTTTGTTGCTGTTTAGCGACATAAATGAACAATCAAAGATACACCGCGCATTAGCAGGAAAAGAAAAAAAAGAAAAAAGAAGAAAAAAGGAGAAAGAGGCTTTGCTGCTCTCTAGACAGCAGCAGCAGCAGCAGCAGCAGCAGCAACAGTAATGCACAGAACTACAGATGCTGGTGGCTTTATGCTGCTGCTGCTGGTGTTGTTGCTGCTGCTGCTATTCCTGCTGCTGCTGCTATTTCTGCTGCTGCTGCGATATTCAAACAAGTTCCCCTATAATCTCCTTACCCCGTGACTTCGAGCAGCAGCAGCAGCAGCAGCAGCAGAAGGGGACGCTGTGTTGCTGCTGCAGCAAAAGGGTAAAAGGAGAGCAGCAAAGGGGATAAGAAGAAACAAATGTATAAAGATAATTTAAATGATAAAACCCAAGGATAAATTAAAAGAACACAAGAGCAGCAGCAGCAGCAGCAGCAGCAACAGGACCTTGCGGCGTTGCGCTGCGGCTGCAGGATATGAGCAGCAGCAGGAGCAGCAGCAGCTCTGTCCACAGCCTGCGGGTATCTGTGTGAGCAGAAAAAAACAATAAAATAAAATAAAATATAATTAAATTAAATAAAATAATATAAATAGTTGTATATACACCCCAACAGCAGCACAGCAGCAGCATCGAGACAGCTACCGTGCCTCAATGTCAGTGCATCCACATGCAGCAGCCCCGTTCTCTGCGTGCATGCACGCATGCATGCATGCATGCATATTTATATTAAATAATTATATTTTTATTCTTTTTATTTATTCCTTTTCTTCTTATTTAACATATATTATCTATATGTTAAGGGGAGGAGGACGAGGAGGGCTCCTCTTACCCCCTATTGCTGCTGCTGCTGCTGCAGTCATGCTGCACACACACCAGCAGCAGCAGATAAAGCCCCGTTAACAATTTAATTGCTGCTGCATGCATTTGCTGCAGCAGCAAACTCTAGTCACCTCAATCTAATTATCCGCTTCTTGCTGCAGCTCGCGTAACACGGGCAGCAGCAGCAGCAGCAACAACCACAGACACAGCCGCCGCACACGCAGCATCAGCAACCCTGGTAACGGCAGCAGCAGCAGCAACACCTCTAGCAGCAGCACCAACAGCAGCAGCAGCTTCCTCTCCTTCCTTTGCCATGCTAAGGGCTGGTTGCTTCCTTGGGGTCCCCCCCAATTATCTTTCTCTTCTCTCTCTGCAGCAGAGAGCTGCTGCTGTTGATGTAGGTGTTGCTGCTCGCTGTCGTTGCTGCAGTGCATGCGCTGCTGCTGCTGCTGCTGCTACATGCAGCGGCATAGCACATGCGCTTCGCCACCCCACAAGCCGCTACTGCAGCAGACATGGGGCAGCTGTACCGCCTGTAGCAGCAGCAGCAGCAGCAGCACCTGGAGCGATAGCAGCGGCAGCAGCAGCACAAACTGCAGCAGCAACAGCAGCATCTTTCCGCAACCGCAGCAAAGCTACGCTTGTCGCGAGCTGCTACACCGATTCAAGCAGCAGCAGCAGCAGCAGCAGCAGCAGCAGCAGCGCCAGCAGCAAGTGCAACAGGTACTACAGCAGGAACAAGAATGCCAGCAGCAGGTATTCTGCTGCTGCTGCTGCAGCGAGCTTGGGACCTTCTCCTATAAATACAGCGTCACTAGCAGCAGCAAGAGCAGCAACAGGAGCAACAGCAGCAGCAGCAGCAGCAGCAGCAGCATGCATGCAGCAGCAACGTTTTGTAAGGACAGGCTTCTTCCGCAGCGACCCTGACTTTATAGACCCTAAGAGAGTCCTAGTAAGACAAACCCTAAACCCTAAACCCTAAACCCTAATAAGTGTTGCATGAATTCTATGCATGCATGCATGCATGCAGCTTGCATGCATGCAGCATGAATGCATGCATGCATGCAGTTATATCTGTTGTTATTGTTTTTATTTTTAGTTTTTATTTTGTCTTTTCCTATTGCAAAGGACTTATATCTCCCCCTTGCTGCTGCTGCTGCTGTTGCTGCTGCTGTTGCTGTTGCTGTTGCTGCTGCTGCTGCTGCTGCTGCTGTTAGTTTGCTGAGCCAATAGAGGAGTGGCGTCATGCTGATGGCCGGGGAGATCTAACGGAGGCAATCTTAATAAGAAATAATGTAGGCATGGGTATTGGCATATTAAACAGGTAATTGTTGCTGCTGCTGCTGCTGCTGCTGCTGTTGCTGTTGCTGTTGCTGCTGCTGCTGGTAGTGGTGGTAGGGATGTCTGCATCGGGTAGACTTTTTCTTTTTTATTTTCTTTAAAACTTTTATTTTCTCTTCAATTTAAATATAAAAAAAAAATTAGGGTTTAGGGTTTAGGGTTTAGGGTTTAGGGTTTAGGGTTTAGGGTTTAGGGTTTACAGGTCTTATATGGATAGTGAGTATATATTTGGGGTGTATCGACATCTTCGTGATTTAGAAGTAAATTCATTAAAAAGATTTTCTTGTTTAACAAGCAGAAGAAGAATTCTATTTAATCTTGGATTATCTCCTAAGGGTAAGGCACTGCAGCAGAAGCAGCAGCAGCAGCAGCAGAAGCAGCAGCAGCAGCAGCAGAAGCAGCAGCAGCAAGGGTAGCAGCAGCAACAGCAGTAGTGGCAGCAACGGAACCAGCAGCAGCAGCCCCAGCAGCAGAAGCAGCAGCATACAAGGGGAAGACAGACGTATCTGCTTCCACCGCTGCTGCTGCTGCTGCTGCTGTTGCTGCTGCTGCTGCATGCATGCATGCATGCATGCATGCATGCATGTTTTTTTTTTTTTTTTTTTTTTTTTTTTTTTTTTTTTTTTTTTTTTTTTTTTTA